TGCAGGTTGGAGCTCCTGGTACTCCAGCACGTGCAGTCAGCCCAGTGCAAAGGCAGCGCAAACCGTGATCTGGTGAAGGACAGAGAAGACACCCAGATGTTTTGAGTTCAACTGACTTAAAATCTTTAGAAAAATCCCTATGCTCTGTCCCAGAGTTCCAGGTATATGCATATAGAAAGCATCAGCATCTGGAGAAAATAATGCGAACTCCAAGGTTAGAGTATAAACCGAAATGCATTTAAAAACCATATTAGAACAGATAACCTGAAGATTGCTGTGATATATCACAGACTGAGTACACATGCTGTTTGCATCTGTGCCTCCTGCCAGCTAGGATAATAGCTATTTCATCTCCAGATATTTGCTGTGAGAGCAATAACATCTGAAAGAAGACAAGTGCTGGTGGTAAGCTGGGGGATAACTCACAGCATTTAGCCTAAGGCTCCCTCTGTAGTCAAAGGAGAAAGATCAGTGCCTCCAAAGGGGGACTCAGGGCAGAGACTTGAGCAGCTTTGAGGAAGTCTGTCAGGGGAGATCAGGTGTAAACTTGCCCTGAGCAGTTTCTTTCTGTATTTTCCTGCTTTCAAGAGGAGAAAAAATAATAAAAAATAAAAAATAAAGGAAAACACTATACTGATTTAAATTAGGCTGCACTGGTGGGACAAAAGTATTTAGCAGTAGTACCTTGCAAAGGTTAGGTAAGCTGTCCAAACATATTACCCTTCAGAAATATTATGCTTGCTTAAGCATTACTTGAGTTTCAGTTACTGTATGGCTGATTTAGGGACAGCAGTTGTTTTTCTTGTACTGCTGCATATTCTACCTGTGTGGATTTGAGTTTTCAAGCATAGCAAGTGATGTGTGCAGGGTAAGCTGCTGAAGGGGTTGACAAGCCAGAGGAAGACGTATGTCTAATTACACAGATTAGGGTGTACATGGCCTCACAATTAGGAGAATCACAGAAATGAAACACCCAGAATCTGAAATCTTTTTGGAAAAGCTCAGACCCTGTATTTGCAGGAGTGTTTGACACTACTTGTGAGAGTTTCTGCCTTTGTTATTAAGAAAAAAACCAAACAAATGAATCAGTGAAGCCTTGGGATTCTCTCCACTTCTAATTTTCAGCAGTCCGCCTCACTTCTTCCATCAGTAAGTAGTCCTTGCTATTGTGACAGTTCTGCCTATGAAACCAATATCTTTGGAAATAGTGTTATTAATTACCACATTTGTTTGGAGAAAACAGACTAACGTACCTAATAAGTCCTTTAGTAAAATAAGTGGTACCTCATCAATCAGTACTGATATTAATTGGTAACATTTATCAGTACATCAGCTCTCAAATGGAGAATGAAATGTATCACTTCCCAGATAGCCCAATCACAAAGCTAATTTCGGGACATCAGTATTTTTTTCTACTTTTATAGTATGGAGCATAGTGAAGTAGATGTTACTTGTGATCTGGGAAGAGTTGCTAGAACTGAGCAGAAAGTTGCTGAAGTCAGAGGGAGTTGACTTCGATGGCCTTGCAATCAAATTGGTAGTGCTGAATATTTTTCCTATTGCTTAAAAGTTTGGACATGTACCATTAGCTACTACGAAATTTAAGCAAGCTTCTGCTCCAATGCGAAGCATGGCAATCAGGTTTGAGAAAAACATGCTTTCCAAATCTCCATTCATCCTCAGAGGGTTCTTCACAGAATTTTTGTTTTCAGGGAAAGGGTTGGTGAACTGCTAACAATACAACTCAAAAAAAAAAAAACCCTCTTGGAATCTGCCTCTTTCCTGACCCCTCTAAAATAGCTTACTAACAGCTAGCAATAACAAGTGTGAGGAACACAATTAATGTTCCTGATACAGTTCCTATAGCTGGAGATTTTTTGGTTCCTTTTTGAAATATTAATGATTTGATTAATGAAGCAAATTAACAGGACACCAGTGTCTTCTTTTTTCTCCTGGGCAGGTAGATGTTGCATGTAAAGCAGAGGACAAATTTTCTGCTCATACCAAGTAAACCTGAGGGTGGAAGAGAGGCTGGGTTGCCATTACAGATCTTGCCAGTTCAATGGATACTGGTACTACAGTGGATGGTACTACAGTGGATGTAGTTTTCCTCTCTTCCTTAATCTACCATAGAAAACACTAGGTGATATCACAGTTAAAAGCACAGCAATTCTTTTTTTCTAATTGTATGCGAACTTTAAAAAAATTTCATCTATTTTTTTCTTTAAATTTGTGTAAGATTAACAGTTGCATGACATTTAAAATCTAATTAAACATTAAAATTTAGCCAAGCACAGTCATCATACTCCCTCTATCCCCAGAAAAAAAAGCAAGCGATTAATCTTTAAATCCTTTTTAATAAATGAATATTCATTTATCAATATTTTCATAAAGCATCTCTTCATCACTCCATTTTACTATTCTTTTTTTTTTCCATTGCTGAAGAATACCAAAAATACATAGATGTGCCTTAAGCAAAAAAGACTGGATTTTAGTTTATATTTACAATGAGATGAAATCAACTTAGAGTTAAATCATAATATTTCTACTGCTTATTGACCCTTTGGGCTACAACACAAATTGTTCCAGTTGGGTTTTTTTTTTCCATTGCCTTTTACAAACATTCCATTGCCTTTTACAAATAATGTGTAAATGTTATTTATAGCTAGTGTGAGTTAGAAATGAGTTAATTAGCTATGCAATGCATTTCTCTGGCGCAATTTGATTGGAATGATCATCTTTTAGTCTTAAAGCCACCTATGTTTAAAGTCATACACTGCAGCTAGCATAAAGTGACAATAGCCAGAAAATGTGAGGTCAAGGCAAACACTGTTCTTAACACATGGTTGTGTGTGTGTCTGTGTGTAAGAAGTGGTGCTGGGACTGGAAGAAGGGAATTGGCAAAAAAGGCACAAAAATGCGTGTTAAGGATGAAGTGTTAACCTTAAGTGAGAATTTCCTGGCTTTTTTCAAGTCCAACCAAGACTTCAGTCTGTTCACAGTCCAAGCTGCTTGCGCCCCATGGAGCCTGCCTGGGCTGATGGATTTGGAATCTCATGAAAACCTGAAACGTGCAACTGCTCACTTTTTGCAATGAGACGGAAGGTGGGAAATAGTTTCCTGAATGGGTTAACAGTAATAAACTGCTCTCCAGATGTACAAGGAGGAGGAGACTCAGACACTCAGTTATCTTGCCCATGTGAGGTGCTGAAAACACTCATTTCCTCTTTTCTGAGACCAGTCAGTAATTTCTCCATCTACATAAAAATCTCGACTGAAGCCTCTGAAGCTTCTACAGAATATGGAGTACATATTCACATCACAAATAAAAGCTCTTTTATAGTTGTGAATGAGCCCTACCTGACCAGAGCATTTCTAGGAGCTGGAGCTCGAAGAAAGGGGAGAACAGTGACTAAAAACAGTGAGAGAGTGGGACCGCTCTCTTCTTGAATTCCATTTTTCAGAACAGTTGCTTAGGGCACTAACCAAAGGACTTGCTCAAAGATATTTCATTAGGGCAACTTTTCCAAAGCAGAGCCTACAGTTTTTATGTTTTATTAATATCGTATTTTTTGTTTAATTATATTTTGCTATTAAGGTAAGAGCTTGGGAGATAATATCAATGAATCTACAAAATGTGTATTTGGGAAGGTGCTAATTGTTTTATTACTTTGACAGTAAGGATGACAACATGCTCTACAATCCCTTCACAGTTGGAAGAAGTATCAGACAGCTCATAATATGTTGCAGCCTACCAATGGAAGCTCATACTGAGGAGCTGCTCAAAAATAAGTTTTTGTGCTCCAGCTTCATGGTTTCCTTCAAGGCTTCTCATGCCATACAGTTATTTGCAGTCGCAGTGCTTAAGAGCTGCAGGTACAGCCAATTTGTGCTAGTGCCAAGGATGCAGCAGGGCTTCAGTGCAGTCCTGCAGGCGAGGGCAGGGCAATGGGGATCACACTGTGGCTCTACCTCAAGGCAGCTGAAGGAGCACGTTGCTGTTCAGTGAGCAGCAGCCCCCATGATGAGACTGCAGCTCAGGCTTTGCAACCTGCCTATGCTGCAGTTCAGCCCAGAGCAAAGTTTCTCAGCTCAGCTGCAGTCAAGGGTGGAAACAGCAACAGAGTGTACATGGCAGCAGCATGAGTGCTCTACTCATAGGTAACACAAATACCAGTGAGAACACTTGGCTCGTTAACAAAGCCAAGGCCTTCCCATCATCATTCCATCTTGGTGCTTTTATCCACGTTTTTTATCAACATGCATATCCACGTTTTTCTCCCATAGATATGTCCCTTGCTAACATTCAAAGCTCTCTCTTTGACATAATTTCCTATTGATTTCCCCAGGAATCCTGCATATAGAGTACAGGCATGGCCATGCCTAAATTTTTGTTTTAAATCTACTTATGCTACTGCACCTGTTGGTAGCTGTGAATGTACATGATAGAAACACTGCTTACAAAAAATATATCTTCTTTTCTTTAGAAAGGTTGCTCTGATAAGTAACAAATTAAGTTTACAGATCTGAAATAGGCATACCTTGGATGACTACAATCTACTAGACTGAAAAAAGTTGGAAAACTGCTTGGGGAATGAATATGAATGAAAACCAAAGTGCTTACATTTGCATGAAAGGTGAGTCTGAACACAGTCTGAACATACTTCTTGCTGTCTTTTGTGATCTCTGACTGCAGGACATGAGCTTCATAAACGTACATATATATACTTTAAGTATATAAATAAAATATGAAAATACTCCATTACTGAATCAAAGTATCAGAAGTGCTCTATTTGCTCAGTTCTAAAGAATAAAAAGTTGTAACATCACAGAAACAAAAATATGACATAGCATGCAGTCACAATAGCAAGCACAGGAAAGAAAAACATTGAGAAAATATACTTATATGCATATTATGCAAATATATTTTACATTAACATACAATGTTATAAGAATGTTAAATAATGTGAATGCATATTTAAAAAAATGCTACAGCTAGGTGGTTTCATGTTGAAGTAGCAAATAACCTGAGACATCTTCTATGTTTTCACTGGAATAACAATCTTTACATCTACAGCAGATGTAGAACACGTTGACAGTAGTTGAAATCTCAGCTACTTTACACTAAAAATGTGCTGTTCTCTTTCAAAATGACATGGCAGCTGGAACCAGTCCAAGGGGAGGAAAATGTGCTGCACATTTACAGTACTTACAAAAGATTCTTTTCACTGTTGATGGACATTTAAAATGCTTGTTTGAAATATTATGAACACGTATGCATCTCCAAAGACCTACAGCAATACTCCTATGATCAGCTTGCTTACTGCAGAAGAGAAAGCAAGAGACCATTAAAAACAATGCCCATTAATGAGTGGGAAAAGTGTCTTAGGTCATACAAAACCAAGAAATTTTAGCAAAGAGAAACAAGTTTGGCTTGATGAGATTGTTGTTCATGGTTCTGCAATACAAATGACTTACTTTAAACTTACCAGTGTAACTCTATCACTTTATGATTAGTGTGCATGGTGGCATTTACAAACAATGTTACTAAATACTGACTTTATACACCATTACAGCTGTTTGAAAATTTCTATGACCATCAAAGTTTTGAAGTGATAATACACAACACTTACGTTCCCAAGGCTTGCTTTGGACGACACCTGCCTTTCAAATTAAAAAGTTCCTCGGAAGTGCATTCTATGTTACATTGTCCATAACCTCAGAATGAATGCGTACACGTATGTGTGCATACATATACTTTTGCTCTCCAGTGTGTGCTCATATATACACACGATTCTTCGCTGTACGTATTCACACATACATGAGTATTCTCTACATTGTAAAAGTTCATATATATATATGTTTTTACATATAAATATATATAAACTCTGCAGGCAAGTAGTACTTCACTTGTTATAATTGAAGTCCTTTAAAAAAGTTCAGTCACTCAGTTAACATAGTATAGCCAGTAAATTAAGTTGAAAAGAGAAAATGTGAATGGAAACACCATTCTTGACCATCTGTCAATGGCATTCACATCTGTTAGATCAGGAATTTTTATCTTCAGTTGTGAAGACCTTCTTCGTAAATGGCCCCTCTTGCTGTGGGAGCCTGTTCTGTCTGATGAACGCCTTCCAAGGCTTTCGCGATGTGAGCTTTGTTTTCTGTACTGGATTCCTGAGTTGTCAAAGGATATCGCTGAATTTCTGGCATCCGTAACGCTGGTTGTGACCTCGTTGCTTGCCACCTCATTGTGAATTTCAAGAGATGTTAGCAGAATGTTTCCATGGGTGTCCACCTACAGGACAAAAGTGGAAATTTGCATTGTTTCAAAAGATTTTGACGTATGAACAGCAAAGTGTGTGTGCATTTACATCTCCAAAATCATATGTGTTTTAAGAAAGCAATATTCATTTTAAGCAGATGGTAATATCAGAAAAAAAGATCGGAATATTCAGCTGCTTAAATAGAGACAGGTACTTAGACACTGTTACAAACAGGGATATCATATTACCAACTTTTAATAAGCGTATTTGGCAAAAGCAACCATTTTCCTCTCCATTTAAATTAGCTGCGCTTTAAAGGATGGAGTATTTCAGTGAAATCTCTGCATTGCTGGCAGTAGGAAGAGAAGGTAAAGGAGGGAATCTCTCTCTGCAAGAGCAGGAAATTAATTAACACTAAAAAAGCTATTTTTTCATAGGAGCACCTCTCCAGTGTAGAAAGGTTGAAGGAAGTGGCTTGTTTAGCTTGGAGAAGTGAGGGCTCCGGGGAGACCTCATTGGGGCCTCCCAGTGCTTGAAGGGAGAATACGAACAGGAGGGGGAACAGCTGTTTATGAGGGTGGATAGTGATAGGACAAGGTGCAATGGTCTTAAACTGAGATGTGGGAGGTTTAGATCAGATTTTAGAAGGAAGGTTTTCACACAGGGTGGTGATGCACTGGAACAGGTTGCCCAAGGAGGCTGTGGATGCCCCATCCCTGGAGGCATTCAAGGCCAGGCTGGATGTGGCTCTGGGCAGCCTGGTCTGGTGGTTGGTGACTCTGCACATAGCAGGGGGGTTGAAAACAGATGATCACTGTGGTCCTTTTCAACCCATTCTATGATTCTATGATTCTATTCAGGATTTAGAAAAAAAGAAAAAAGTGCGGGTGAAAACACAGTAAGCCCTATCCTGCTGAACTCCTTGTATATTGGATTCACACATTTTTTTACAGCTTTTCTCTTAAACTTTTCTTTCCATATACATTTTCCTGATTTTGAAATGATGGCAACGCATAATTACATTTTTTTTCTACTTGGATAAGTAAGTGATCTTAAATAGGAATAACACTGCTAAACTGAGGAAACAAGTAGCACTCCTCCCTCTAGCCTCCGTTTGCAGCAGGAGGTGAGCACAATGCTGAGCACAGCTGAGGAACATGATGCCAATATAGGAAATGAGAAGAAGGTTCTGATCCTTTTTTGGCCTTAGTAAACTCTGGGCTTAATTTTGCAGCCCCCTCCGAATAACAACAGAGTTGGGTGTAGCTCCCTCTGTCCAGAAAACTTCAATTTCCCAGGAGTAGAACTGACAGAAAGTCCTCGGTGATGCCATCTCAGGCAGTATTTGGTTGCTTCAGTGGTGGGCACTGAAATCCTTTGTGCCCCATGCCCTGCATGCTGGAGGATAGGCAGAGAACAAAGCTGATGCAGGAGTCAGCTCCAATTTCCCACCAGCTTTTGGGAGAGGAAATAAACTGCTCACTATAGGATAAATGCTCTGTCCTGGGTGTTTTGAACTAGTTAACATCTGCATGACTGTTCAAATGAATGCAGTTTCCCTCCCAAGCTAAGAAGAAATTGTTACACATAGCACACACAAGATAATTTCCAGATCTATTTTCACAATTTATTCAACTACAATTCAGCCTGTGATTTTGTTAATTACTACCTTTTTCTAAATTGCCACCTGATCTAGCTACGTGAACTGTGTGGCACAGCTGAACATCTCATCCTGGAAGCATAAGTACAAAAGCAGCTGAGAAAACATAGTATGGTCATGACCTATTGAAGTTCATACAGCCATCTGATACCAGGTCTGCTGAAAGCTTTGTGTGATGCAGTAAAAGTATGCATTTGCTATGTGTCTGTCCCTGTGCATTTAGCTTCTTAGAATCCTGTTCAATTTTTGGAAAATTGATATTTCTTTAATCAATTATAGATATACATCTTATGTTCTCTTTGGGAAATATATTTATAGTCATATTTACATACTAACAATACTTTGACAAGCTTCTTGCAGATGGAAAAAGAACACATAATACAAGGAACAACACATAGGTAAGAAGAAGAAAAAAATCCTAAGGTATCCAACACATCCTGCTGTTGTAGGCAACAGTGCATAATGCTGATGAGTGCCTATAAATAAAAATAAACAACGTGAAACAGAACCATGAGGTGCAGAAGCCTCAGTGGTGATTAAGAATTTATTTTTCCCCTGGCAGAAACCTGCTGGGTAGAAAAGTATGAGCTTGAGGTTTGTAGAAATGAGTACATGCTATTGAGCAGGATCTGCAGCTGGGGAATATACACAGCTGTACAATACAACCATGGACACCATCACTGCTTAGAGTGGTTTCTGAAAGTCACTGATTCAGTTTGCATTGCATTGTTTGTTTTTTTTTCCCCAGTTCATATTATGATCAGGATTTGTAATAGCATTGTGCAAAATATCCCTATTATTTGCAACTTCTTTATAAAGCTTAAAATTACATCTCTCATCTAAGCCTCTACTAAGCACATATCACACCCTTTCCTATCTCCTCCCAGATTTTGAGAAATGTTACATAAAGTTCCTTCAACTTCCTCAAAATGCCCCAGCAAGGAGCATTTTACTGGGCCCTGCTCTGGACGTACTGCCTTCTCTTTGCAGTCTCTGTTTCCTTTTCTGTCTGCCACCTCCATATATGAAGACATTATCCAGTCCACAGGTACTTTGTCTTTCCATTGAGACCTGGACTGTTTTAAGTGAGGTGTCAGCTTGTACTCTGGAGGGTATATCCCCAGGCTTCTCCTACACAAGGAAAGCATTAATTTGATTCCACTTATTTCATCACACTGCATAGCCTATTTCACCTTATCTGCCAAGACTGCATGCACCCCTAATGGAATTTCTGTCTCTGATCTCCCAGTGATACTGACACTTTTCACTGTTAGTCACTGCATCTATAAATCAAACCAGAGAGGTGGTCAGGAAAGTAGCAACGTTGATGTAAAAGCTTTGTTTGAAAGCACACAGTTACACCCTACCAAGTTGCAGGACAACATATATTTTCTGAAAATGTCCAAAAACATATTTGGAAACAGTTGTGAAGTGCATCTCTTTGTTAACAGACTGAGATTAGCAAGCCAATTTCAAGGAAGGAGCAAATGGAGAGGTTTGCAGAAACTGAAATTTGATATGCTTGAGACCTATTCCTGCAAACTGTATTGATTTCCTCTGAGATTTTGGATAAACCTTCAAACTCTCAATAACGTTACAGCACTATATCCCAATATTTTGTGACAATCTTAAAGTGATCTTGCAAAGCAGGAACACGTAATATATGCAACACATTAAAAAGTATTTGCACACAAACATGACTTCTGAGTGATTTGAGTAATGATTTAAACGACTTTGAGAAATGTACAGAAGCACTCTCAAGGAATGAAGAAGCACAGTGACAGGCTTATCCTCTGCAGGTTGACTCAGGTTTGTTTGAATATACACATAAGGAAAATTCCCACATGAGTGCACAAGAGTATGGTGCAGTGACTCAAAGAAAACTATTACTTTAGATACAGATATAGATTATGTAAAGCAGCTGAACTGATTACAGACAAGACTACACAAGACAAACAAGACCAACATCTTCAATGAAACCTCTGTTTTACTCCTTATGAGCCTTATAAGTTTTTATGGCCTGTCATAGCATGTGCACTGGAAATTTTTCTCAAAGTGTTTTCTGAAAAAGCCAAGCTTTGTTCTTGAATATTGTTTCAAAGTGGAGATGACAACATTTGGCCAATTTCTCTTGCTCCTTATGATCTGATTTTAACCTAAAGATTTCTCCTTCTTGTCCCCTCTGGTGTCCCTGGGTCTCCTGTGATCTCTTTTCTGCCTGAACCCACTCATTCCCCATTTCCCCATCTGCACTCTTGCATTCCCACCTCTTTCCTGACAAAACCCAGAGCTGGTTGTTCCCATTAAGTGTCTCCCAGTGAGCCTACAAAAGTAGACAAAAACAGCTGAGTGCCAAATCATTAATCAATTCCCTACTGAATAAGCATGGATCTAAATACGCAAAACTGATGCTATTACTAAATTAAACACCATTCCTCCCAACTTTGAACAATTACAGCTCCTGCACCAGAAGGTGAATGGCACTCACATAACTCCATTTGGAAGCTGAGAAACATGAAATGCAGTGAGACATACCACACACTGAAAAACAGATTCATTTTTGTAGGTTCACCATTTGTTAACAGTGTGGCAGTAGGTCTCCTCACCCATGTAACCAGTGACAGGATGAGAGTTAATGGCCTCAAGCTGCATCAGGAAAGGTTCAGGATGGATATTAAGAAAAATTTCTTCTCATAAAGAGCAGTGATGCAGTGGCACAGGCTGCCCAGGGAGGTGGTGCAGTCACCGTCCCTGGAGGTATTCAAAAACCGTGTGGGTGTGGCACCGAGGGATGTGGTCAGTGGGCATGGTGGGGATAAACTGATGGTTGGACTGGGTGATCTGAGAGGTCTTTTCCAATCTTAATGATTCTACGGTTCTAAGATTAAACTAAACATATTACACGGCAAATTAAGAAAATCCAAAAATTCTAACAGCCATCTATCATCACACAAGAATGAAGTAACTGAAGTTAAAAAAGGAAAATTAGCAGACAGCTCACAAAGAAACCATGGTCTTACTCTTACTCTTGCATGAACTCTGCTTCGCTAATAGGATCAACTAGGACAGTACATTGTAGACTTGAAACTTCTTTCATACCTGGAAACTTCACCACTTACTTCTTCCCTCTAGTCAACAACATACTGGCTTGTTTAGATAACGTTTTTAAATAGATGAGTGAAAAGAGCTGCTATTAAATACCTTCCTCTAATTAAGATTCTTGGAAAACTTCATTTTTAATGTCAGTTTGAAAACACTTGACTGGGGTCAGGAAAGTACAAAACAGCTTGATTTACTGTGAGACAGTGTCTGAATTACTTTGGGTTCATTTAGTTCTCTGTTTAATATTCCATAAATTTTAAGGAGTACTTTACTCCTTCTGTTCTTCCTCATAAGTCTTTCACTCTGCTACACAAAAATAAACAGTGGAAGCATTTTGCTTAAACCCCATAGGTACATTTAGGAGTTCATCAATCCCAAATTTTTAAATACCGTGTAAATATTTTTCATTATATGAAGTAATATAAATGCAAATAGCAGGTTTAAATAACAGGAGGAAAAGCTGTCTCTTTATTAGTCTTGAGTTATTTTACATCAAAATTACTATTCAATAATATTATCCCACAAAATAGATCTCCTCTTAAAACTATAAAATAAAAATAACTTTTGTTAGTAATTGTAATCTAGCTATCTGACTGTCACCTGGTCTGCCTGGTGAAAGCACAAGGGGTACACTACAGCTTTCAACTTCTTTAGTTATGTCTGAATGACTTTCTAACATGTCAGAGACCAGAGACCTTGAATACTATCTGTGCTTCAAACAACACTGATTGACTACACTATGCCTGAGACATTTAAAAAATAATTTAAACTGCAAGCACAATAAAAATGATATTGTTGAGTATTCTCACTGAGTCTAAAAATTGATAACTTACTACTTTAACAAAATTGCTTATATTGATTAAGTGGATCAAAATAAATGAAAGAGACAATTAAGTTTCTGTTGACGTAGCAGATGAAACTAGGATAGCCAGCAGAAATGGGAAGATGGAAAGATCTTGAAAATAAAAGAAAGTGTGAAGAATAAGGAAAGTTAGAAACTTGCACCCCAATATCACTGATAATCAAGTAAGGATGGAGTTTGACAGTCATCCTTGTTGTATTTGAACTAAGTTTGTACGCACATGATCCCTCAGTGCACAATGAATGTCATAAGCACTACAGAACTAGGGCTCTTCTCACAGGAACTGTGTTTCCCACCCTTGACAGATATTTTTCAAAACTTGGCACCTACTCATCACACTCACGCTTCAGAAATATCCCACTCTTCAAAACAGTACAAAAAAAAAAAAAAAAAAAAAAAAAAAAGAAAAAACATCCAGAAAAGATGAAGATGCACAGGAGAATACTGCCAGTTTTGCTATTCTCATATTTCCCAATTTAGACTGAGTGATAATTCTACCACAGGAGCCAAGACACTCATTCTAAGAAGAAAATCCCACTTGTGAGAACAGTTGCTACCATTCATGATGCTTTAAAAGCAATAAGTAGATGTAAAGTGGCCTCCATCCTCAGTAGTGGCTGGTGGGCAGCGTTGCCTTGGCCAACAATCAGAGTCTGAACTGGAAACCTCTGGAGCTAAAAAGCCATGCAGCAACTGCTGGCTAGAAGAACCTTTTTACAAAGGGCTTTGTATTATTTTGTTCAAAGAAAGCTATTCCCATATGTCTGAGAGCCACAGGGGGTTGAAGCTTGAATGAGCTTGTGTGATAGCTACCCTCCTGATTGATACCCCGAGGCTGAACTTTTGGTCCCACCAAACTGAAAACATAAATTGCCACAGCATGAGCTAAGAAGAAGTATTTTTAGCAGGGGACTGTAACAAATCATAACCTCTATGGATTGGCCCAGAAGGAGCAATGTCCAAAACACACGCGCACCAGCTGATTATGCCAGTGGCCTCTATCACAAGAGAGAACAAAAAGTGAGAACTGGATTGCCTTAGAGCTATCTCATGCTGATTTAGTTGTAAATTAGGCTGTATCTGAGCCTTATTTAAAATAAACAATTTATGTAGTAAAACTGAAAATGCACAGACAGCTACAAATGAAGCCAGAACCTGCCAACAGAAACAAGAGAAACAGAATTGATCCATAACAATAGTGATCAATTTTCAAAGGAAAACAGGCTGCCTGTTTTTATAGGCCACCTATTCTTTGCTGTCAATTTTTCCACGAACAGAAGACTTTAATTTAGGCACTGATACCATAGGAACTTTTATGAAAAATCAAGACCCTGTTCTTCCTAGAGCTTGTTCTTATATATGAACCAATTGATTGAGGTTTCAAAAAAAGTGTTTTCAGAAGTCTACTACTACTTTCATTTGTTTATTTCTGTGTTTGTTTGTTTGTTTGTTTTTTCCCAGGTGCCCTGAGCTAGGACTCTAAATCAGTGGCAGAGAGCTCATGCACACGGTTCATTACAAGCAAATTGAATGACTAAATCAAAACAGAGAGATCAACCCACAGTGGTAGTCCTAGAGACAAACTAAAAGTAATGTATTTTTCCAGTTTTATATCTAAAACCTTTTCAACCTCTGTTCACACATTTTTACAGTCACCAAACAGTAAGAATTGTGACAAAAGGTGCTGACAGTTGAGCCCTTCCCAGGACACCCAGCCCAGCCATAAAGCAAGAAGCAAGCGCCAAGTAGCCATTATTTCCATCACATTCACCAATTCTCAAGACTCACTGAATTTGAAGTTTGAACTCAATGCCTCTTCAGTGCCCCTTGAAGAGTCTGCAAAGCTTTCAGATAGTCTTCCTTGGCAAACTCCAGCATGACCACCTGTCTTGCCTTCATTGTTGGATGCCTATACAGCATAGTATACAGTGGGCATAATCCTGAACTACGGAAGGTGTGTTCCTGCTTCAAGGTTGTGATCTCTGACAATCCTGGTAATCTTTGTTTGATATGTATTTTCCCTGAGCTGCACATCCCAAAAGCAATGGGATTTCTGGTCTGCTCTGAGCAATCTTTTCTGCTTCGGATTTGCTAGTGTTTTATCAAATGAGAAATTAAGAGAAGACGTTCTACATTTGCTGAATATGCATTTTCCATCTATTTCATGTTCAAAAGGATGACTTCTTATCAGACCTATTTAATGTAATTTCCGGTCATACACTGGCACTACTTCTCTTAAGACACTGAATCCAGCAACTGCAGTAAAGCTCTGTTGACTTCACCAGCTGAATCTGACCACACTTCATTATTCATCATATAGCAAATATTCACAGACAGTATGAAGTAGAAGTATACAGATTTCCCTTTCACATCTGGTATTCCAAGTGACAAAGTAGCATACTGCTCTTTCAGTTCTGTCATGCTGCTCATGTCTTATGTTCAGTTCATGCTTGGCCAATATTAAACCAGCAGAAAAGTCAGAACAGTGCACAGTATTTGCTCAGGATGGTCCAGAAAGAAAAGAAAAGGTCCTAAGTTAAAAGTGAGATAGAAAGGTTGATGCATAACGTATAACCAGGTCTGGTATACAAAAATGATGCAATGTGGGTATTAAAAAAAGCCCTTTTCACTCATTAAGGACCTTGGACTACTTCTGACAATACAGACTAATTGAACTCTTTATTGAAGAACAGTCAGGCATTAGATGGCATTGAGTAACTAATGAATTCTATAAATCATTTAAATGGATGAGATTCACAGGATGGTTTTCATTGGCAAAAACAGAACCTTAGGGCGTACATCTGCATTACCTGCTTGCAGCTAAAATCTTCTCTATTGCTTTCAGTTGTGATATTCTCTTTTTCTTCTATTTGCTTTCTTATTATTATCACTACTTATTTTTCCAGAAAAGGGAATTCAATCTTCCTGCTAGCTTAGTCCTAGGCAATGCTGCCAACTGTGATGAGATCTTGGTTCCATAATAGAATGGACAAAAATGAATTTATTGCTTCAAGAACTATTTCACATATATGAATGCCAATAATTATGTGGAGTTCTGCATTACAGTTATTATGGCAGACAGGATCACCAGAATAATAAAATACAGCTTGAAATGACTTTATGATACCAATGTTTAATAAATAGGTAGTATTTTTGTCACAGCAAGCTCTTCTAATCTATAGCTAATAGAAAAAATAAACTGCAGCCTTACTCAACTGAACTGAACAAAAAAGCATCATTGGGAGCATTTTAGCCAAAATAATATGTTCTGTTGAAACTGACATAGTTTGCTAATATCATATAGCGTTGGATATCTTGACTTTTTATTTCAAATGAGCAAAAGGTATATTTTTTGCACAAAGTAATACCTAAGGGAAGGAAATAAGATGGAGTGTAATCAGCACTGACCATAGCAATACTGTGATTCAGAAAGCCATCTGAAATTTTCTCTGGGAAGCATAATTTTCTGCTGGCCTTTGCTAGCAGTAGATGATCATGCCACACACACAGCATTTCAGCTCTGCTGACCAATTAGTTAGCATGAGCAGAACTAATCATGTATCTAGTTACTCCTATTCTAAATGCATCTGCTTGAAAGGAAGTGAGAAGTATGCTCAGATGCCAGATTCCCTTGCACGAATACAAATTTAACTGTATTTGATTTAAGCATATAAGGACTTTTGTAGGTCTTGGCCTTTAGTTTTAAGCTAGCTGCAGTGGTATTGTTTTCTTCTTACAGTTTCTTGTCATACAGATCATACTCACTTAGATTTCTGCATGCTTAAATATTTTCCTTTTGATAGGTAATTGAATTGCTGAAGTTTGACCACAAAAAGGGGATGTGGTTGGTGATGTTTTTACGCAGATTTTTTTTGTTTATTCCATAGAGTTAGCATTTGTAATAAAAGAAAGAAGAGACTATGTATAAAGAATCCTACCCGGCTGCCTTCGAACCTTGAGCGATCGTTGTTTGCCTTTGCTGTTTTTTCCGCAAGTTTCTTCTGCCTTTGAGGGCCTTTTCCAAAGAAAATGTAGTTGACAAAGGCATATTCAAGTAAGGCCAAGAAGACGAATACAAAGCAGCCCATAAGATACATGTCAATGGCTTTAACATAGGGAATTTTAGGCAAAGTCTCTCGCAGATGTGTGTTGATTGTTGTCATAGTCAGCACAGTTGTAATTCCTAGACAAAGAAATAAAAGAGCACACGTTTTACATATCCTAAGTGGATAATGCTTAAATTTTGTTTTCCTTTTTGGCAAATTTCCCTTGTCAGTGCAAAGTAGCTTAAAAATTTGCGAAAGCAGTCTCTCAGGTGACAACACTACAAATAAAAGCAAAATTAAAGCTTGATGCATTACTCTTCTGTTACAACATTTCCTTCTAGAGCTAGCGGAAATAATCACCAAGGGTCCCTGTCGCCACCACAGTGAATTAATATAGCTTCAGAAAAGGCACAGTAGCTGTACTGAGAATATCTCTGGGATGAAAAAATTGACCTGCAACAGGAGGGAAACATTCTGCAAAACACTAAAATGTGTGCTCTTCCAAATCTGCATTAGCCACGAACACCACAGAGACAATTTTTTAAAGCAATAACGGAACTATTTAGGGATCTGGATAGACAAAACCATGTGAACAAATTAAGGCAGAGGGACTATAAAGACATTTATCATCCAGAATTGAATTTCTGAGAGTTAAGCAGTTGGTTGAAGTTAGCCCTGTAGGGTCCCTCTGGAGTAGACCGAGAGAAAGGGACCGCCCTAGAGCAGTTCATCCCATTTACTTTAGACACCTATTTCAGTATCAGACAATGTACTCGGATCATGAAGAGGAATTTGAGAGCTCTAGTTTAGATCAGTAGTCTAATTTCTACATGGCTAGACAGAAGTGAGATGAGCAGTGAGAGACAGACAGGTACATAGATTTCAGGAAAGAAAAAGCCAAGAAGGGAGAGAAGCATTTTTATAGTGATCTACTGAACATAAATGAAGTACCCAGAAGATCTATTAGGGATGTCAAATCCTCATTTATTTGAGGATGGACGTAGCACCAGAAATATATTACCAGAGCACTGTTTTGAAAGCCTGGTAAGAACAGCAAATTTATTGTTCGTCTGCTCAAATTCACAAGAAATTGCAGGTTCTGTATCTGGAAATTTTATGGGAATCAAAAATCACAGAAGGCTGAAAACATTGAGTTTTGGAATAAGTCTACATTGGTAAAAGAGGCAAACCATTTTAATAGGTCCCCCTCCTTTACTATTTTTTTTTTTCTGATTTTATATTTGTTCCTTTAGTTTGTAAGTAGTCAATAAAATGCTGGCAGAACAAAAATAAACAACAACAAAGACACTGGCATATTACAAACCACAGTTTCTTTTACCAGAAGAGACAGAAATAAAGACAAATATAAACAAGACAAATATAATTCAAAATCAAGCTGTTGGTGTTAGCAGTGTTACCCCAAGGGATTGCAGTAACCTATGAGGTTCTGTAACAGATATTTTTTATATTTAGTAGGTTAGCATCATGCACATTTTCCTCTAAACTGTGAAAAAAGTTTGTTTTGATGTCAGATGTTTTGTTGCTTGAAATGCAGCAGATAAAGGGCGCTTACAAGCAGGAGGAAGACTGACTTATTATGTGGTCCAGTAATGACAGAACAAAGGGGTCAAGTTTTAGGTTAAAAGGGAAGAGATTTAGTTTAGATATTATGACAACATTTTACACTCAGAGGGTGGTGAGGCACTGACAAAGGCTGCCCAGTGAGGTTACGGATGCTTCATACCTGAAAGTGTTTAAGACCAGGCTGGATGGGGCTTTGAGCATCCTGGTCTAGTGGTATGTGTCCCTGCCCACAGCAGGCGATTGGAACTGGATAGGCATTGAGGTCCCTTCCAACCCAAACCACTCTATGATTCTATAATTGATTCTGTGATATGCAGCCCAGGCTTATTTAAAAATTGTATTTTGTGTAACACATCTAACTCACAGTAAAATGAAGCATCTAATACACTGGGATTATTTTAAAAGAAATTTTACCAAGGTCTGTGGAAAACCTCACTGCCAGCACATGGAATGGGTGAGAGATAGTGCAAACACTATCACATATTTGCAGCCCAAAGGGATTGCTCTAGCCTGAATTACCTTCTTCCCTTGTAGGATTACATGCAATTGCTTCCCATAAGGATTCTGAAAATTACCTAAGATAAAACTGGATATTACATCAGAAATCCCACAAATTCCTCTTTTAGTATACTCTTGACCTTGCACTGTCCTCTCTCAAATGTTTACCAAAGCCTTGATCAACAAGCAACTCAGAAGCACACACAGATGCGTAATTAATACCCTCATTTTTAGTGTCTCTTCCCAGCTGTTGTCTAGATTGCAGAAATAATTCCTTAACCACCACATGGAGAGTTGTAGAAGCTCTTTGAGAGAGCCAGAAGATTAAGCACACTGAATGGAAGGGTGGTCACCACTAATTTAAAGGAAATACATCTCCTGGGATAACATCCTGGCACCCTGCAGGCAATACCAATGATCATAAAGGATCAAAATCCCCCTTTTGAAGATCAATAATTTACTTTAAAACACAGCTGGAGGAGGAGCAGCTGAAACTCACCTACTCAAGCAAGACAATCATGTGATTACAGCCTTTGTCAAGAGAGAACTCTAAGATTACTTTGACTTCATTCAGAGGAATTAATTCAGGAACTTCTAAGGCTAAGTAGCAACAACTCAGAGTTTTGAGCAGCAGTGCCCCAGATTTGATGCTTTTGAATATAGCTCTTGAGATTAGCCTGGGATCAGTCTCTATTTGCAGTGTCTATTGCCCACAGTCTGTGGAATGAACTACTCTTTCTTCTGTGCCTGGGTTTCTTTGTTGAGGAAACTTTTTGATTCAGCACAGAACCAAGTTACGTATGTCCAAAGGTGCAAACACTGCCTTCAAACTTCAATATAATTTCTTCTCAGCTTCAAGCTCATAGAAGTGGCTACACAAAAGAACAAAGGATTAGGCCCATGGTACTGAACTTTATTATACAAATACCAGATGATACAAGATATAATCATCAAGGCACTAATTGTGTTCTGAGAAAAACCTATTAGATGCATTGTCATTCTCTCAAAATTACTTTCTATCATTCGGAAGTAGAACACCTGAGCTCTTGAGCTTGTTTTGAATGCATTCTCTGACTTTTGTTGAAATATTTCTATCATCACAGTATATTACTTGATGAACCAGGGCCTCTTGTGCTACAGACAAATAGACCACATGAGACTGTCTTTTCCCTTATATGAGGAAAAAAAATGTGTAAACCTGTTATAGGAAAAAAATGGAATGTCATTGGTTTGCCAACTTCTGTCTAACCATTTGTTCATTGCAGTTCTGGCCAGCATTTAAAATCCAGATGCTGACTGATGTATTCAAGTGTTTTCCTAATTCTGTCATGATGTCTCCAGGGTGGATCTTTGGTATCAATAGTTCATTTATGAATACAACAGAGCTGTTTGGATCCTACACTAAATCTCCCATGAAGCTACTACTTAGCTGCAATATGCTGAACATACACTGGCTCTTCAGTGGTAATGCCAGAATCTGTCATGTATACTACACACATATTCACCAACTAATCCACTTAATATGTAGAATTATTGTACCTATAGAGTAACTGCAGCTAGTATAACATTAATTTTCAGTCTTAAAAATTCAAATGCTAAGAAGTTATATGAGGTACATATACACGGGTATAATTGCAGCTGCACTCCTTCTGTATATTACATATTGGGTGGTGAAGTATACAGAGACAAGGTATCCTATGGATATGTCTTGGAGTATTGGTTTGCTGTGGTATATAAGAAAATAATGGTGCTAGGGAATATACTCCAATTTTAAGAAGGGAAGACAGTACAGAAGTTATATAGCATGGGCTTAGAGTAAAGTTTTGAGTAAGAATGCAAATGCCAGTGGAAAAGAGAGTTGAAGATAGAATTTGGAGTGAGATAAGATGCAGGAGTTATCATAAGGATTATTTAAGGATTATTTATGGATCCATTTTATCTTTCTTGTCTACAGTTATCTGTGAGTATGTTTCTGTAACAGATGAAATACTTCATATGAAATATTTTGAAAATAGCCACCCTTATGTACAGGAGACTTTGATCAGAAAAGATCTTGGACTAGGGTCATCACCCTGTGCTAAATCCGTTTTTCTGCCATGAGGTAAATGGCACTATAAGCTGTCATAACAATGCACTCAGTGCACTCTGCATTCTGAGGGTGAGACAGAACATCATGGTCCATAGCTAATGCGTCCCTGTGCTCTGAAGTAGCACATGGTTCTTGAGGTCCCTTCCTGCCACTGTCAGTTAAAGCAGTCAGGACCTCAGGTGGAGGCTTGGAGCTACACTTGTCTTCCCACACTGGCCTTGTCTAAAAGCCCACGCTGAAGCCCTTAGCATATGATTCTGGAGCTGGTCCCCTTGCTAAAGTTAGTGACAACAACACTAAATCTGATGAAAACAAGTCTGGTATCCATATGAGCAGCTCATGTCAGAGATTTAATGGTAGATATATTCTTGCATGCAGGGGAAAACTTATCACTTTTGAGGCAATACTGAATGACATGATTTTGACGTAAATGATTTTGGAATATCAAAACACTGACAACATGTTGCAGTCTCTTAACAACTTCCAAAGGCTACATTCAGTCTGACATTTTAATATCCCACTCAATCTCAGCACATACCAAGGGCAACTCTTGCTGCTGATGCATCATAATTGATCCAGAATGACACCCATGATAAAATGGTAATCAGTATGGAGGGCATGTAAGTTTGAAGAATAAAGTATCCAATATTTCTCTTCAACCTGAAGCTCAGTGAGAGTCTTGGATAGGCACCTAAGAGAAAGGAAGGAAAAACAGTGTTATTTATGCTGAAGTAAAGACTGAGTAAAGACTGACTTTTTCTGTAGAAACTAAAGCATGCACATTTTATGGGGTACTATGACATCTGCAGAACAGTAGGGAAAATGCCTTCACTGTATTACTGGTTGGTATTAAACGAAAACTTGCAGAGAATATCCAAGCAATTTGTATTTGGGAAGAAAAGAGAGTAAGTTATTCTAAATTACTGAACAGATGGATAAGCACTGGTGAGTTTTCAAAGACAGATGCTTAGGTCGCCATGTAAAATACTTATCTACACAATTTCAAGTCTTAAATGTGCATAGTTTGGTATTTACGTGGAAGAGTTGTTCTTGATGTCGCATTCCTTAATTACATCTGAATTATGAGAAACATGATACCTGCAGTGTCAAAAATATAATGAGTCCAAATGAATGAAAACCTTCAGATCACCTCCAAAGGTCTCTCAAATCAACTAAGGCTGAGCAGAATTGTTCTTCAAAAAATATTTTAGTAAAAAAATTGAAGAATGCATAGGTGTATGTACATAGTATACACAGGATTCACAGATTATAGAATCATTATATATTGTTTCAATGAGAACAAATGATGAAATAATGAATAATCTCAACGTTAGTTTTTAAAAAAACAAACATTATATTATTTTAACTTAAAATTTGTGTACTTTAAAATTAGTTGCAATCTAACTGAATATAGTAAATACACTTACAATGCCCAGACATTAAAAAAAGCAGTGATTTCTTGTACCAAATGCAAACAGGATAAAAACTGAGGGCAGTTGTACAAGAAAAAGATATACGAATGCGCACAATACCAGTTCCACATCTTCAGTGTTTCCATTACTAGTCTTAGATATGATACTTCTAATAGTTCACCTAAAAGCTCTAGTTAAAACCAACAATGCAGAAAAGAGTTTCTGAACATACTCTGTTCTTATCCTTAGAACAAATTCCACCCATCCTGCTGCAAACGTATGCAAGATGTGACACAATGTGACAAATAAATCAGAATTTACAAGTGTCTTAAAATAAATATTAGCTAAAAATTATGTTCATATTTTTGCATCTGAGAAACAACATCTGCCCATGTATACATGAATGGCCAGCAGGACAAGGGAGATAATTGTTCCCCTCCAGTCAGCCCTTGTGAGGCCCCATTTGGAGTACTGTGACCAGGTCTGTCAGCCCCAGTGCAAGGAGGATGTGGAATTGTTGGAGAGAGTTCAGAGGAGAGCCACGAAGATGATCAGAGGGCTGGAGCACCTCTTCTGTGAAGAACGGTTGAAGGAGTTGTGCTTGTTCAGGCTGGAGAAGACTGGGGAGACCTCATTGTGGAGTTTCAGTATTTAAATACAGCTTATAAACAAGATGGAGAGTGACTGACAGAGATAGGACAAGGGGGAATGGTTTTAAAGTAAAAGAACAAAGATTTAATTTGGATGTTAAGAGGAAATTCTTAGGATTCTGAGGATACTGAGGCACTCAGTTGCCCAGAGAAGTTGTGCTGCCCCACCCCTGGAGGCATTCAAGGCCAGCTTGGATGGGACTTAGAGCAACTTTTTGTAGAGGGACATGTCCCTGCCCATGGCAAGGTCTTCAAGGTCCCTTCCAACCCAAATCTTACTGTGAATATAAGAACTATGGATTTCATGAGAAAGAAAGCAAAAGAAGGAATAGAAAATTTCAGATTTCTCTTCACCACATTATTGGTGGGTAAGCTTTGGGTCATGCAACAGAAAGAATACTATGGAGTTTCCAGGCAGCAGAAGCATTCAAAGAGAGTCAAACTTTGCATTTGGTGGATACAACATAGCTCCATCTTCTTGATCAGCAGGTAGGAATTAAGAAGGGTGCTTGATTCTATTTCAAAAAGCAGTTGATTAAGCAACTGATTTGAGCTGCATATATGTGAGCTAGGTGTCTAAGGTTCAGTTACATTTACAGGAGAGCCAGTTCATCTAGTCAATCTAGTAAATGAAACCTAAAGAATTATTTCACTGACTCCTGAAATAAGCTCCTAGTGGGGGACTGATTTTGTCTCCAGAGTCTACAGACTGTATTCCCATTGATTAGATTCCCATCAACTGTAATAGAAGTTTAGACATCTAATTCAAATGCAGACACTGAAATTAATTATATTCACCTTAAAAGAGATCAAAAAGAATCCCGGCCTTGCAAGTTTCAGAGTAGGTTCAAGACAGTTTGTGGCTCCTGGGTAGTCTAATCAACAGTCTCGCTAGCATCACAGCCACTTATTGAAGTTGACACTTTCCTCTATTTCCAGAGGTAAATAGAGAGTCATGCTGTTTTGTGATGATTTTCCAGGCTCAAAATTTATTGGGAATTTATCTGGATCTCAGGAAATTTCAGAATTATTTGATCTTTGTGTAGTTCAAGTTGAAACTAAAATATGAGCTAGTAGCCTCATTTTTAGATACCATGCAGGCAAGGTTCTCCTTTACGTAGCTCTCCCAGAGACTATGGAAGTTTGTATTACTTTCCCTTTAATTACCTTTATGCCTTCACAGATGATCTACTGGCCCTATCTCCAGACTGCCATCTCTAGTATCCTATCTCACTTCCAGTAAACAATCCACAGGAAAGGAGTCTGTGGAGAAGCAAATCAACAAACAAACAAAACCCTAAAAGAAGGAACACTGCTGTGATGCTGTTTATTTATTCCTCTTTACAAGAAGGCTAAAGCTCACTGAACAGGATGGGTCATAACCTACATGAAACAAAAATCCCAAGCCCAGATCTTCACCTATCTAAAAAGAATCATCTGGTACATAGGTCACACCTGGAGTAATGTCTCCTATTTATTTCTATAGAAGCTGCAATGCATACAAAGAGCACAATAACACTATTAGACAGAGCAAATTTTCAGCTACAAAACGTCATTATTCATCACAGTCACCACCATTAGCTATGAATCTTCATCAGCAATGAACAAAAGCCTGAATGCCATGCTTGTAAAAATCTCCACCAGCAGAGGTGACAGCTCTGCGTGGCCATCTGGAACGTCACTTATCTTTCACATTGCTGCTGCCACTGCTGAAATGCGCTACCCACTGATTCACTGTGCTCATATCCACTGTTTGGTCTCCATAAACGTTCAGCAAGTGTCCATGACTTCCATGTCAGATGTCATTGTGCCAGACTGCCCCTCTGCTGCTATCTGTTGCACAGCAACTACATGTAATGGAATATTGGTGGGATGGTTCAACCCCTACTGCTATACCACCAACATCTGACTCTGATATTGTGGACGAACGCAATAAAACAAGAAGCATTATTTTCAGAGCAGCCCTTGTATAGTCTATTTAATAAAAATGAATTTCTTGGTTGTAAGCTCAACAATTACACACTGATATTTGCCTGATTATGCTTGGATAATGATTTTGTCAGTTAAGGCCCAGTACATGTAGAAATTAATTAACAGGAAATTCTAGATGCCAACTCTGCATACTTTCTTTTTTTTTTTTCCCAAAAATATTTTGCTGCTGTTCAGGGGCAAGATTTTTACCTTTCTTTCCATCTCGTGTAACTTGTTGCTGTTCACGTGCTAATTTAAATATTAGAGAGATAACAGAATTTGGCCTAAAGTATTTAAATCTAAAAACAGTACTGGAAATGAAGATGTGAAAACAAATACTTCATAACTGAAGTCAAAGTGTTTCTCCTTCATATATTTGAGCACTCGGTTAAAAAGTGATCACTTGTTCCTGTTTCAATTTCATTAAACACTAGTAAGCTGAAATATCTAGCTGCAAGACTAGATTAGCCCCCTGCTGTTTTATGCAGGTATGAAACAAGATAAGAGAGCTCATCAGTTATAGAATTCTTAAATTAATCTGCTCTTCTGAGAAGGTTCTTCAGTTCACTGGAAATGTACTCTACAGATTGATCCTTCAGAATATGCCAAATAATTAATTTTCAAACCTTTTAAGACTACCTTCCTTCTACCAACAGGTTGCTCATCTGGCTCGGACTGCTATGCATTTTGAAGCTTTCAGGAGGCATGTTATATATCTCCATTCCTGTTTAGTTTCTTAGCATTCGTTGATAATATATATTTAGGAGATGGATTCAGACCACAGATTAGATATTTCAGGTGCTTTCATGTGGATATTTACATACAGATGGTGCATAAACTCTTGGTGTAAACCACACAGAAGATGTAATAGCCATCAGATTCTAAGGGGATGGTTCATCTGCTTGTGTAGAGGTGTCTAATGCCATCTGAGATGTCTCCTATGACATTCAGGTCTATGACACGAGTCTCTTTGGCATTCAGCAGATATTGGGAATGGTCAAGCCAGCCTTTTCTTCTTCACAGCATTTTAAATACTACTTCTTAATTTCATCACAGATAAAGAGAACAGGTTTTTCCTTCTGTCTTTGTAGGTGTTTTCTAGACACATAAAAAGTTCAATTTCTATCATGTATTCTCTTTCTTTTTTAAAATACCTGACCATATCTGGATCTCCTGTAATCTCACGTATTACATTTTCTATACTTCGAGTCATTCTTATCAATCTCCCCCAAGCTTCTGTTGTACCACAGCTTTCTTGAAGAATTCTACCAAAAATAGTCAACTCAAGCACTGCATGTCAGACTCAACATAAGGATGTTTTTGGTTTTTTTTCCCCACCAAAAAGATCTTATTTGTTCACATTCAGTCTGAGATCAGTAGTAGGCCCTAGACTTCCATGTAAATAATTTCAGTCTCACCAGATATTTCCTAGCCTGAATTTGGATAGGAATAATTAGTTGCATAGGTGTTGTATCTCAAAGCCAAAACATCCCAAGCCTAACATTTTCCACAAAAATATACAAATCAGAACATAGGAATTTTGGTCTTGAGAAGAAATTTAAAAGTGTGCTGACTTTATCTGTCAGATTCACTGGAATATTTTAGATTTAGTATCGGAATTAGGCACGAAGTTCTGAGAAACAAATGTGCTGATTCCTTTCAATGGAAATATTTGACATGAAAGTTCATAATCAATGAAGTTTTTTCGTAATGTCCAAAACCAAAATAACAGTAAATGTAGTATTCTATCTTCATCAATGACAAAAATTATATGCTTCAGAAGATGGTACAAGAAACACAATCTGTTCTTCTTGATTGTCTCTTTTTACTCCTCAATGTCAAGCTGTCTTAAATTCTGAGACATGAGTTTTTTTTTTTTTATCTCCTCCACAGACTTGTTGAAAAGAACTGTTGCAACTCTGAATACCTGGTCAGTTACACAAAAGTCTGCCCACAGTTTTCATTCTCTCTCATATTTGTCTCACAGCTCTTTGGAATTGTCTTTTTCCAGAATTTAACAAATCTCTTTAATCTCTGAATCATTTAATCATGTCATTACTGAAACATATCATACTGAACTGAAAGGTGGCTTTGGACTGTCATAAAAACTTCCCAGATATATATTTCTCTGTATGCTCATTGTTGTCTGAAAGAGACATTCTAGAAAAGCGTATCCAGTCCTGGGGAGGGGCAGATAAATCCTAACTACCAAAGGTGATACTGGTTGCAAAAAGGAGCAATTTATGATCAGAGTATCTGTTTACCTTAAAAAAAAAAAAAAAGCCATCAAAAAACAGCCTCCAATAAGAAACAAAACCAGCAGCAGTGAGGAAAACCATCATAATAATTTCGATCCCAGCCATGTGTACATTTTGTACTGAAATACAACTCATGTTTCTGTGTACTTTGAAACAGATGCTGTGTCCATAGAGTGGGTGAAGTGATGCTTACAAACATCATAGAACTATGCTTCACTTGTTCTACTGTACTGGGACACACAGAAGAGCACATTTCTGTGGTCTGAAGAGGACAGAAAATCTGGAGGTCCCAGTAGTGCTCCCAAACTCACTGAAGGCTTTCTGTGTTGCTTTAATCTTGTCACACACACACAGGAACATTTTCTATGCTGGTACCTAACATTAAATGTCTAAATCAGTGCAAACAATGATTAAAAAGAACCGTGAATGTAAATTCTCTATACAACAGCAAAACAAACATGCACAGACAAGCTGTTGGAAGGTACTCATAAAAACTGTGTTTTTTAAATCTAATATGCCATAACATACTTTGGTACGATCAGTAAACTTGAAGGCTACATCTTTTGAACTGATGATTCAGAGGTGAATAACTTCATATTTATTTAGATCATACACGTTTAGGCGTATGGTTAAGTATGACACACATGCACACAAAAGAAAAAGGAAAATGAAACAAGAAATGCTATTTCACGGGCTCCTGCCTCCAGGCCTTACTGAGTCATTTCTTCAGCCACTCACACAACACAGTTCTAAGACTATATATAACAATGATAAATAAAACAATAATTGTCATATAGAAGATAACTAAATACTGAGTAGGCAAATGATAATACTTGCCAGTGGCAAAGACAACATTCTTGGACACCAGTCTATATTCCACGATGGAGAACTGAGGAAGCTCAATCCTTTCCACACCAGTGACTGCATTATCTCCACCTCTCCAGTAGAACTCTATGTCGTCAGTCGTATAGCCATCTGCAGGCCAGGCAGGAGAGCAAGTGAGAAACAACAGCAGACAGGAGCAGAGCTTCAAATACAGTACACACGGTCTGTCCTTTGAGGCAATGAAAAGGATCAGAACAGTTGGACCAGTGTATGAATTTTTGTTCTAAATCTCTCCTGAAAAGGTGCTTGCATTACAGTCAGCACAGGAGTTTGAGGCAAAATACTGTGTTTTTTTTTTTTCTTTCTTTCTTTATTTCTATCATTCTTATAGCATTCACTCTAGGATTAATGGCCCCAATAAGACAGGAAATACCACCCATTAGTACTTTCAGGGATTGCAGGCTGCAATCTACAAAATCACAGATCAGTCTGATTTAAGATATCATACACATCTAGACTGATAACAAGTGCATATTTACATTGGTAATCACCAGAAAAAAATGTGGATTATTCTATAAATACAGATAAACATAGCTGGGGCAGATATTTTCCAATCACACTGAAGGGTGTGAGTCACACTGTTTCCATTAAGCTTCTGCAGTGGACAACCCCAGCTGAATATAGAGCATGTACTAGCGCAGACTCCAGCCAGTTGCAGAAATGGAGCAGGAACCCTTGAAGCAGAAACATACATCTGAATATTGCAGTTCTAGGACATGACTAGGTGGAAACGTGAGTCTGGTTCTATGTGGAACAGACCTACAAACCATAAATGGGGCTGATTTGAGAGCCCAGGGGGTCCTGCAACAAGAGCATCCATGCATAAAAAAAGAAAGAAAACAATATCACAGTGATCTTCTTCTTTAAAACGAATCTGATTAAAATATGAATGTTCATTCTCTTGTGTTTACAATAAGCATCCAGTCAGTGGCTCTGCTAACTCAGGCTGGAACAACAAACTGCTGCATTCTGTCCTAGACCTGTTCTCCTAGGATGGATCCTTCCGTAGAAATGTATGAATCTGTATGTTTAAAAGGTCAAATAAATAAACAGAAGCAGATGATAATTACTTGATTCACACCATGGTTACAGACACCAGGGAAAATGTTCTGTATTTGTATAAATGGAAAACTACCCCACATCTGTGCCAAGTTTTACATGCATCTTCTTATGTACGTACAGCTTTCTATTTCGAGAGTACAGTTCTGTTCATCTAGCGGGTATCTTCTCAAGTCCATCATACAAGCTGCAGTGGTTGTGATTCTGAAATACAAACACCAAATAGAATTGCTATACAGCTTGTAACCCTTTTTTTTTTTTCTTTTAATTGCTCTTTTTTTTTTTTTTTTCTCTCACAGTGAGGACTCTCTTTGAAGAATAGCTTTACATAATTAAAAATCTGGTCCATACTTTTACAATGAGCAGCAGCTTACAACAACAGCAGATACACTGACCTCAACGGAAATACTCACCAAGACTTACACTCATGTGACCAGTCCCTTTGGGGCTCAATGAACCTATCTGCATATGCAAATATTTCAAAAACCTTTGCTGAGATTAAACAATATGACTTTATAGCAGAAAACACAAGGCGATAAAAGTCTGCTACAAATGTCAAAATTGTAAGAGCTGTGTGAATAACCCATTTATTGTTTCTGTGGCAGCTGGAGAAAAACAGCCTGAAATGTTGAAGAAACACTGCAAGTCCAGCAAAACGCTTTGGTTTAAAGTTCAGTTTATTTCTCCAGTTTTCAAAAGTAAATTAAAAGAGACTTTGCAGTGAAATGTTATATTGAATTTTCAGTTTTCCCCCAACTCAGAATACATTTTTGCTTTTTAATTTCCAGTGCTGGCAATATAGCACACTAATGATGAATTTTTAAACCATTTCACTACTGATGAATTTGCATTTTTAATCCAACTCTTCAATACCAAGAGTGTCAGCAACACACACACGAAACAACTTATTAAGAGATTCACAAAGCATTTGTCCTTTCTTTTCGAATTAATGGACTGACATAATTAGTAAATTTTTTTTTTTATTATTCAACTTTTAGAAAGATACAACTGTGTGCACTAACTTGTGATTAACCTCCAGTTTTATTTCAGAATACTGCTGAGTCATAGTTGTCGTCGTAATGGATGGATCTCATCATTATGGATTATCTCTTATCAATCTCTTTTTAGTGCCTTTATATGAATTCCACATTATTTTCTGGGCCTCATTAGGTCCAGTCTTTACTGATCCTTTTCTAATTTAAACACGGCATGGACCTTGTACAGAGTTAATTCCTGAACAAATAATATTCTGGTGATAATTTATGCTAATATCACAGAAGGGAAAATGCATTAAATGCTCCTCGAAAAGATGGGACTCTCAATTTTAAGTTTTGTCCATGTGCTTTTTCTGTTTAGAACTTTCTGTTTCATCCCTTGGGCTTTTGAAATGACAGCCATCTAGTTTGGTAAACTGGTTTAAAATTCATGGGCAGCATTTACAGATGAGAGACGTAGTTAGAAGTTTTTATTCAACTCTCATGCAATAAAATGCCCCACATCTGCTTTTACTATAAATGTCTCATCCAGTTCACTGAGAAACAGAAGAAAAAAATGCTTTTCCTGAGCAAATAGCTTATTTCAGGTAGATAACTTCACATAATATCCAAGGGAAGGGAGTTGCAATATCCCCTCCAACCATCTCACAGTATAGTAGAAGTCACACCTCTATGACTGTGGAAAATGATTTTGTAAGAAAGCATTCTAATTTCTTTGTATGGGGAGAGACAGTTGTATGGGCAGAAAGGCAACGGGTAGGTCAAGCAACAAAAAAACGCTCAAGGATATATTTTCATTTGTGTTTTACCAGCAGACAGTGGAAAGGCACACATTGGATCATTGTCCCTCTCAGCCTAGGGCAGGATTATGCCTCTGCCACTGCAGTCCATTCTATGTGCCCTCAAACTGCCCGTATATTAAGTCCCATAAGCTTTCAGGTATCACGTATTGATTACAGGATGACTTCAGGTCAACCCACCTCCAGCTGTCTGCTGGGAGATGCCCTGGTTCTATACAGGAATCTGTACATTCCTGCTCAAGCATCTTTTTATACTATGTATGCAGTATGTAAGATTTTAATTTCATAAATAACCAGCAAGAAACATACAAACAAAAAGATACAGTTAGATGTAGAAAGGAATAGGTTTAGCAGATTTACTCAAAGTAACTTGAATGCTTAGAGGTCCCCGCTGAATGAACTTTCAAGCAACCAAATTTAACTTGCACGAATGCTCAACAAAAGCAAATGCTAATTTCTCTAACTTGTGCATGCTACCAAAAAGAAAAGGTTTATTATTTATGGGATGGGATGCTTCCTTACACAGCAGGACAAGACTTCAAGAAGTCATCATTACAGCAGTGACAGGGAAACAATTACAAGCCAGATAAAGATAAAGCTGAACACAGATGCACATATATTTTGTTTGGAAGCAAGAAACACAATATATTTTTAATTGTTAAAATTCTCATTCTGATTATCTGTCCTCTGGATATAGCTTCTCTTATCTTCCCTGTTACTTTATTATAGAATCATCATAGAATCATAGAATTGGATTGAAAAGAACCACAATGATCATCTAGTTTAACTCCCCTGCTATGTGCAGGGTCACAACCACTATGTCAGGCTGCCCAGAGCCACATCCAGCCTGGCCTTGAATACCTGTAGGGATGGGGCATCCACAGTCTCCTTGGGCAACCAGTTCCACCCTCTGAGTGAAAAATTTCCTTCTAATATCCAACCTAAACATCCCCTGTCTCAGTTTAAAACCATTCCCCCTTGTCCTATCACTATCCACCTTCTTAAACAGCTGTTCCCCCTCCTGTTTATACACTCCCTTCAGGTATGGGAAGGCCACAATGAGGTCTCCCCAGTCTTCTGTTCTCTAAGCTAAACAAGCCCAGTTCCCTCAACCTTTCTTCATCGCAGAGGTACTCCAGCCCTCTGATCATCTTAGTGGCCCTGGACTGATCACCTTTCATATATTGGTAGATTGTACAGGGACACCATTGTTGATGTTCTAGGAGGTGCTGCATAAACAACTAACAGAAAAATGCTCTCTATACCCCAAAAGTTTACAATATAAATCAGTCTAAGTGATACAAATACATTTTATTTGACTGGGTCATGGTCCTGACAGATAATTTGATCCTCTCTTTATCTTAATTCAGAAATATATTCATCCAAAAAAAAAAAAAAAAAAGTCCAGCTGCAACATCTGACCATCACAACTAACTTTTCCATCTTGTGAACATCTATCATGTTTTATGTATGGGTGATAACCACGTGATGCCTTCCATACAAAATAAATACATTCCTCCACTCCATTTATTTATTAACACTGTACTGCTTGAGAACAAGAAGTCTACATATGACAAGTGTACAAGCAGTGGAAAAGACTGCTTTTAATTGTCAGTCTATAATGCCTTTGTTTCTGTTTTGATCTATTATGGAAAAAGCCATTGTACAGTCCTAAATTTGTCTACTGTTCTGAACAAGGTGGGAAAAAAATAGTATGATGCTCAAAGAAATTCCCCATAAACAACTTATACTCCAAAAGGCTACAGTCCCATTCCCTCATCTTCATAGACTTTTGCTGCAATAGCAAACTGTTTTTTTCTGAAGTAGACATAAAACTTGGATAACTGAAGGTCAAGCATTTCAAAAGTACCATAGATTCCGCATTATTCAGAAGAGAACACAGAGCCCTTGTGGCCTAAGGATCACTTCTGCTATATTTCTTTTGAGGAACTGCTTTGCTCTGTGGATATTCTATAATCGGTTGCAACCCTCCAAAATTTCTTCTGTTATTTTCAGTGACCCCGTATTTTGTGGCACATAAAACTCCAGGTTCTGGTCTCAGCCCACAGGATGAATCACTGTCTCCAGCCTGCACCTTGAGACCAAGGCCACCAGGATGCTCTCAAGACACAATGCAAGAAGAAAAGCTAGTGATAAAGCAACATAAAACTGAGCTCTTTGGATTAGGAGAGCTAAGGGTTAGATATTTTCTTCCACCTGATCAAAGTATTATTTGTTTTGCCAAGATTTAATTTCAGACAGTAATTCTTCATTAAGTAAATCAACTGCTTCACATTTAGCTAAATCTGACCACAAATGCTGCATGTTGTTTGAGAGCTTGTAAAGAATGTTGCCACACATGAGACACTGTTGAAATCCCTGTCAAGTGAGTACAATGAAGTCAAGTGTTTGGATATTCCCATTTTGCAGAACTGGACACTATCCTATTCAAATATAGTTTAACAGAAAATCCTTATCTGGATGACTCCAAATATTTTTAGAACGTGCCAGATATACTTTTATGCATTATTATGACCACAAGGATTCTAAACTCCATTATTTTTCATTACTTTGCTTTTGGGAATGATTCTTGAGATGCAGTAATAAAAACAATAGTATCTTGCATCTTTTTTTATATTTAACTACCTGTGAAAGAATCCTATGCTTGCAGTGCTCAATACTGCATATAAAGTACACAAAATTAAAAGCTCATTTTGCTTAAGTTAATTTTAAATACATTTTCTGAAAATACTAAGCTTATTTGAAACTTCTTACTAGGTTGAGACTATTTTTATTTTGTCTTGTTTTAATTTTGTCTACAGATGTGTGGGCTGTAATATAAAAGGAGTTAAAGGTGATTGACCAAGACCCAAGTCAGACAAAGAGTTCACCCACTCATTAAAAAACAAAACAAAACAAAAAAAAACAAAACAGGTAATATTCTGATACTGTAAATCTAATCCATGTGCAGCACATTTCAAATCTCATTCATTTTTATACTTTGTCCCACAGTTAAAAATGTAAGAAAACTTACTATGATGGAAACAAAGTTTACATTACCAAAGACTTGTTTTGCTGATATTGTGCAAATCACCAGAGCATACAGAATTTACCTGTCCAAAGAAAGGAATTTTTTTTATACCACTGAGTATTCCATCAAGTTTTTTGGCTTGTTTAATTACGTACATTTATTAAGGCGGGGGTTTTCTGGCACTCTTATTCATAAAAGTTATGATAGAAAACAAAGAAAACACAGACCAATCCTAAAACACAAGATCATGTAAGGATGCTTTGTTGCTCTCGTTTGAAATATAAAACGCTGTAGTGCTGATCCCTGTTTGAAAAAATTGCAGAAGGTACATAGAGGCATGGTCTTAACAGTACTGAATCCATTTAACCAGCACTGTTTGTAGCTTTCTTTTTCTCTATAGAGAACATATGCACACACATTCAAACCTACTGCCTCTATTTTGAGCAAAATGTTCAGGTTTACAATTAATATTTGCCTTTCTGCTTCATGCAGCCACTGGGCTTTCCAGATATGGCAGCTCTACATAAACAGATAAAACCTGACTGAGAATGCTTCTGGCAAAATTAAGAAACATTGACTGTGTCATTTATTTTCTATGGGCATCTTTCAGAGTTGCAGGGAAGGTTACATAATATGCTGCACACTGTAATAACCTTGTACCAGGAAACAAATATCAACAATACATAACAATGGCTGTGAAATCTTCATCACGAAAGTACAGACCTGAGGCCATAAAGCACCGTTCCATCTGGATGAAGGCGAATCATTCGGTTCTTCACAGTAACACCGTGCACAAATGATTTCTTGTCATTTAAGAAGTAGGTGTCAGGCACCCAGAGTTGATCTGCCACTCGATTATCAAGCGTCAGGTTGAGAGGTATGCCAGCATATGCCAGTCTCTTATCTCTCCAGTACTGTTGAAAATACATAGTCAAAGTGTAATCCTGGTAAGAAGAAACAGAAGTACAATAAATAGTCAATAATTCATGGCACAACTAGAAGAAAAAGTATTTTTCTGTCACTTGTTTACTTCACTGCTGCTTTATTTTTTATATATGTATATATAAAAAAGCTTAATCAAAATGTTAAATATTCCTATCAGCTATTAAATGATTCGAATAATTCAAGTATCATTGTGGTCCAAGAAAGATTTTCAAAACCTTAAGAAATGCAGCTCTTACTGTTATCTTTTGTCTTTTTCCTCCTTTTCTTTCATGCAGTCCCAAAAATTACCTAAAAATGATGATTCTGTGAAATGATAAGCAATGTAACATAACAATACTATAGTTTTCCCTATTTTCAAAACTGATAGATGAACTGAAAAACCCTAGAAGTATTTGAAAACAACATTCAAAATCATATTCTAAAAACTGGTTGCCAAGTTGTTGCTTGTGTATGTGCTTTTGTGAGAGACTGCATCTGGCAGGCACATAGAGCTTTGCTCACCAACAGCCGACATCTAATACGTACTAATGTCAGTGTTTGGTTTTCATAACTTTGCCAGTAGAGGTCTATGGGGTCAGCTGTAAGCTGTGATCGCTAAGCCAACTTAATATCCAAAACATGGATATAGAAACCTAAATGATTCAGCCTGAAAATATCAGTTTTTTTTCAGAATATGCTAACTTGCTTAGGTCATGTCATGATAACGCTTTAGACAATATGCCTCACTCAGGCTACTATCAAAACGCATAAAGGTGCATGGGAGTGCTTCCAAGTTCAATGTCAGCAAAGATGAAAATCACATGAAACAGCCAGATTTCCTGTTTGAAACGAAAAAGCTTTGTTTTCTTTCCCACATGGTTTTCAAGGTGTGGAAGAACATTTTCATTTTTACATAGCCTTGTTTAAGCAAGAAATAAAATAAATACACAACTAAACATAATACACTGCATATGGAAATTAATGTTTGAAATCAAAGAAAACACTGCTCTTAAGTCTAATAATATTGCTGTATTTAACAATGATAGAAACGGGACAGTAAGTACAGGTCATTAAAACTCTGATTTTCAAATTAGAGAAGTGCTTTAAATGAAAAAAATCTTCCCAAAACACTGAGAAATTTATGCCATCTCCAAACACATTTAAATATTTAGCAGCAGGTGTGCAAACCACAGGATACCTGCATTTGCATCTGGTTCTACAAGCTGCTGATACAAAAGCCCTCAGGCTTGCTGCTTGTTTGGGAAAAGGCTGCTTGGAGTTTTTAAGTACAAGTGTTGGGAACAGACCATTCCTGTAATGGGTCTCATGTGGAGACAACCCAACTTTAGGCAGTGATCCGACTCTGTTTCCCTCAGCCCTTAAAGCTTCTTCTTGAAAGCAAATGAAACTCCAGCACACCTTTCGCTCTCAGAGACTTTGCACTGTTTATTCAGTGATTCATTCTCTCTAATGGGGTAGCTGCTATAGCTTTAAGAAATCAATTTTAATTGCTTAGCAAATAAATCATTATAGTTATCAAGGGCAAGCTGTTCCTATTTTAACAAACCTTTGAAAAGAAAGGACCAGCAATGGGAGAAAGCAGCCCACATGCAACTGCATGAATGGGAGCTCATCCTTTAAAACCCAGATCTGAGATGACTGCCCAGGAGTATGTGTGGCAGTTCTTGTTGGAGGCTCTCTGCAATGGGACTCACTGTCAGTGCCCATCAACCAAACAGCACTCGTTGTGCCTGCCCTGCTCCATTAGGAGGAGCTCAGTTCCATGCAACCAGCTTGTTGATGCTGATGTACTGGAATGAGCATCCTCCACCAGTTTCATTTGGGCTTAATTAAAGCTTGTTTCTATTAACATTCTGAATTTGTGTGTCTGAGTTTTGTAACTTTTGCAGTCTGATATCAAGAAAGCTGTAGACATAAAGCTCACTATGTATAAATGTGCAAAATGCAAGACAGAAATAAAGAAATAAGCTGTCCCCATATGTTATTGAAAGGAGTGAACCTAGATGGCACTAGAATGTGACAGAAGCAGTACATTTGTACACAGGTGAGTTTTAGGCTAAGTTCCTTTTTCCTTTGAAAAAAACAATACATGCTAACAGCTAATGAATGGATCAATTAACTAAGTAAAATATGTGCATTAATATAAGCAATGACATTCCCTCATTTTATTTATTTAACCAAAGTTTACAGTGTCAGGGAAAAACAGAGAAAGGAGTTTACAAATTGAATAAGAGCCATGCTTGTTCACCATTACTCTTGTTCTGATAGCTTATAGCTACAAAAGCAGCGGCAGCAAACATATTAGAACAGCGTTGAAACTTTCTGGTTGCACAAACAACTACAAAGTTCCTTAGGGCAGCTCTACCAAAGGTACTAGTGGAATCTAAGCATATTAAAACCTACAAGGATGTCATTCTTTGACTAGCCAATTTATGAGGTTCTGTACCCACAAAAGAAATTTTCTCTTTTTTCTGCACTCCAGATGAAAATGATGAAAATGATGGTTTGAACATGGACTGGAAAAAAAATGCAGGTAACATTTTTCAGGTAAAATGAGAAAATGGATTTTTACTCCTAGGTAAGTAGCCCAAAAAGTTTATTTAGGATCACCTTCCTTCAGGGATGCTTATGATGACTACCCCTGATATAGTGGTCAAGAAGGTAGATGTCTGAAGTCAGAAGAGATTAATCCCACCACAGCTTCTGTCAAAGATGATACAGACCTTCCAGCTTTACGAAATTCTAACTACTGCACAGAGCAGCAGTCAATTTCCTCAACTGCAAAGACCTTCATAAATCATATTTTTTTCCCTACGATACCAGAACACGTTCAAGGTCCACCCTTCCCCCTCTCCAGTTCTTCATACTAATAGATAAGTCAGGTCAAGAATGATAATAACAAACAACAACAACAAAATAACGTTCAAAAGCCCTGACAGAAGAATGAACACAATGCTTCTGAAGCACATGAAAGATTTTAGTTTACATATTAGCAGGAAATTCTTTACCAATAGGGCAGTGAGACCCTGGCACAGCTGCCCAGAGAAGCCAAAGGTGCTCAAGACCAGGCTTGATGGGGCACTGGGCAACCTGAGATGATGGGGGGCAGCCCTGCCTATGGCAGGGGTTGGGGCTGGGTGGACTTTAAAGTCTCATCCAGTTCAAACTATTCTGTGACTGTGAAATGTCTTCAAAATGGGTAAAGCTTGACTGCACAGGCAACAAGAGACTTATTTTACATATTCAAAGACCATGGACCATCTACTGCAGTCATGTCAGTAATGTAAGGAAATACAGATACATTGTTGTTTTTTCAACACAGTTTCCCTTGGGAAAAACAAAAGAAAAAACTCAAATAGCAGATAATACTTGGAAAAAAATTCAGACAGAATGGTAAAGAGGCATCCAGCACAATTTAAATAGATCATAATATAGCTATTTTTCATAAGCATTATCTATTATTTCCAAATAAGCAAGAATTACATACAAATGTTATAAAAGTTAACTACGTTCAAACAAATGTTTAAGTCTTTCCTGCATTATAGTTGTCAGATTGAACATAACTTGTATGAAGTACGACTATGACTTGACTCACTTCAGACAGGCAGAAACATTGTACTGTACTCCAGAACAGCACCTTACTGCACTTGCCACTAATTAACCACTAATACTAATACAATGCAATATTAAAAACAAACCTGTTTGTGTACCATCACAGTGTTGCCTATCTTTAGCTTCTCTGTCCTCCACTCAATAAAAAAGGAAAGAAAAAAATTTAAGCGTAGTTTGTTCATCAAAATAAAATTAAAAGCATTTTAACAGAAATAGGGATCCAAAATTGATGATCACTGTTTACAGTTTGCTATGCATTCAGAATGTAAAAGTTATCCATTAGCTGTAAAAATGTTTTTTCAAAATGACTGCTCAATAGAACGCTATAATTAATAATTATGATGGAATACTATAAATATGTCAGTTAATCAAAATAAATTATTCATTCAGAATAAATGTATTGAAAATTACTAGAAACATAAAAAGGAGTTATCCAAAGTGTATTCAATTTCTTGAGAATATAGTTCTACATACACTTGATAATGCAAATTCCTGTCTTAGATTTGCATTTGGATATAAATTCACATAGTTTTCTTGACCAATAGACACTGTAATTATTAACATCAGCTAATACACGATTATTTTTTGGCTGAGCTAAATAAATACTCATTCAGTGGATAAAAAGATGTAAGAAAATCCATGCCTTAGCTTCCATGTAAGTAAAAATTACCTTCCTTTATGTTCCAAAAATTAGATATGGCCACTGCAATATAAGGAGCTATTTTAGAAGCACTGATGATTGAGTTACTTTCTTTCCAATAAGTCCGAAGTGAATTGCAAACCCAAACTCATGAATCCTATGCATGACAACACAGCTGTAAATCTGTTCCTCCACTACAAACAGAAAAGACCTGAGAAATAGTTCATGCACACATTAATTCAGTTACACATTATTCAGTTAAACATGAATAATAAAGACATTCAGAACGGCTAGCCTTAAGAAGTCAGAACTTACCAGCAATACTATTCAAGTGTCTGAGCTCATCACTTACATGTTTTTTCTGAGAATTCAAAATGTTCTAAAAGGTTCAAAAATATTCACACTATAGAAAAACACTATCCATTATATTTTACCCATTGACAATTTGATTAAGTTCTTTACAGAGAGAGTGGTGAGGTGCTGGAACAGGCTGCCCAGAGAGGTTGTGGATGCCCCGTCCCTGGAGGTGTTCAAGGCCAGGTTGGATGGGGCCCTGGGCAGCCTGGTCTAGTATTAACTGTGGAGGTTGGTGGCCCTGCCTGTGGCAGGGGGGTTGGAGATTCATGATCCTTGAGGTCCCTTCCAACCCCGATCATTCTATGATTCTGTGATTTTCCCAATACAAAAATACTGTATATAACTTTGTCAGTTGTCACTGAATGCCTATTGCTTTGCAAAGCCTTTTAC